TCTATTTATTATTTTATATCATTCTCTTAGCAAAGATTCAAAGCTTTTTTAAATAAAATATTGGTATAGATGTATATTATATATTGTAAAATAAATATATATTCTCAAAAAAAAAAAGAGAGCCTATATAAGCGTTAAAAACAGAAAAGTCAAAGACAACTGCACGACAATTGATGATCAACTTACGATCGATAAAGTTTTAATATTTTTTCTGAAAAGAAAATATTTTTAAATTAATAACAAATATACGAGACACATATATATATATTTGAAAAAATTATTACTCTATTACTGTTAAATTTCTTGTTAAAAGATTGTTAAGAAATTAATTAATTGGATTGCATACTCTTTTGGATTACATAAGTTTCAATGAAACATACAAATTTAGACGAAAGTACGCATATCGATTGGAAAAGCCGGAACATATGAGTGTTAATAAAATAAAACACGATGCTTTCTAATTCGTTCGATGTAGGTGCGCCTTTTCCTTGACAATATCTCCTTGGCACGTTTCTCTAACGATATTTTACATGTATATAAGAAAGTTACCATACCTGTTAGATATTATGGTTCATTTTCATTATAGGAAGGAGAAGTTAGAATGACCGATTACGATAATATTTATTAATTAACAAAAAAGAAAAACATATATATATATATATATTATTAAGATTAATTAATCTAAAAAACAAGTGGATTATCATTAAACATAGAATAATGGACATCTAGAACACACTGTTTATTAGACCCAGATCTGTTGGCTCTTTAACGTGATTTAGAAAACAATTGTCTAATTAAAATCCAGCTCCCTCCATCCCTCTATCCCTCCAACCCCTAATCGTACAATTACGTTGCTCTAATTGTTTGATATTAACGAAACTCTACGTCTTTTATAATGAATGTGTTTTTATCCTCGTAATGATTATCATTAGGATTTCATTTTATTATTATTTACGGAATAGTTCTAAAGTTTTTAGATGACCTAAAATGTTTTAAATGTGTGACTTTAAAAATCAATTACTATATTTTTCGAACACTTTTATATTCATGTTTTTTTTGATTTCAGGTAATATAAAATTCGAATAATTGTAAGTTCAAGTATTATGTAAATAATTAAAAGCTTAATAATTATTAAAAAAAGAGAGTAATAGATTTTTTATAATCATATTGAAAAATTTCAGACCCGGTAGAGAATATTTTATCTTATTAAATTAATTCAAATATACAAGTTAATATTTTCATGAGTTTGTTGATGACCATCGGACTATTTGTAATTCCGGTTATCTATTGACCTTTTGATATAACATTATCGATAAAGAAAAAAAAAGAGAACAATAAATAAACGAGAAGACTTCAAAACTGAAATATGTTGCAATCAATCGTTTGAGAGTAAAAAAAAAGAGATAAGGTGTAGAAAAAAAAAGGAGTAACAGCAACCCTTGACCGTTCTTCTCGTGCGTCATCAAATTTCTCTAGAACAATGAAAGTAATCAAGTTAGTTTGTAATTTTCCATTAATTGAAATAGAGATTTAAAGAATCATCTTTTCTTTTGAATGTAATAATAACTAAATTGTCAATATTTGTGCAAAGAATTTTTTTTAAATTGAGATACTTAAATGTCGTCTTGAACAGAAAATAAATTAAAGATAAAAATGGTATTTCTGATTTTGTATAAATTTTCTAGGTCATCACAAAGTCAACTTTATCGTTTTATACGGAAATCTATAATATGATTAACTGTATATTTTAATTTAAATGATAGAACATCATTATTTATTATATTATTTGTCATTTGAGAGATATTTTCGAGATATTTACGTGTTTATATATTTTTTCGTAAAATTCACTTTGTATACATTGGCTGTGAAGAAACGTTGAAAAAAATTTGAATTTTTAAAAAAAGACACAAGATATCTTTTCCTTTTCAAAATGTTTCTTTCAAATCCTTTCATTCTTTCTTTCTTTCTTTCTTTCTCTGTCTCTTGGTAGTTAACTCGTAAAGCCAGCAAACTTCGTTTATTCTCCTGCATTGAATTTATGCACTTGTCCGTTACGCCACACGCCGCTCGTGTGCCACACACGTTTTCGTGAAATATCGTCTGGCTTATACACCATGGAGACATATGGCGTGTATACTCCATTATATCATGCAATGGAATCTTTACTTTCGTTTGAAATCAAATTTAAATTTAACTATTCAAACCGTTCTATCACATTAAATTATCATTTTTAATTCTTGTTCTCTGAGACACCAACTTTGAAATATTCAACTTTGTAATTAAATTAATGATTTCTAGAAGAAAAGTAATATGATTTATGCAATATAGAGATCATTTTATTTATCTTAATTCATCTTATTTAATAAACTATTATTATTGTTGTTCTGAAATATTAACTTTTAAATATTCAACTTTTGTAATTAAATTAATGATCAATGTAAGCAAGTAGTATAATTTTTAATATATATAAATCACATTTCATTTTTATTTGTATTTAATTTTAAATAAAATAAATAAATAAACAGCAAAGAGACTATGAATTGAATAATTAAATATACAAATATACATATCGAAATTTCAAATCTTTAATAATTTCCTTATTTATTTATTATGACAAAAGATTAACCGTATTATTTTTATAAACTACTACTTGACATATCTAAGAATTAAAACGTAGGAAGTTTATATTATCGAAAGTTACAAGAGGGTGCTCGAGACAAGGCATAACCCAGTCACACGTGCGTGCATACACATACATATATATACATACATAATACACAGAATTTATAAACGTGTAAGTATATCTTCTTCCATATGGATAGGATCTAAGAAAAATAATAAGAGGAAGAAAAGAAGAGCCAAACAGGAAGTAACGTTGCACAGACTAGTAGATAATATATATTTTTAAGAGTTTCCTTGTAGATAATTTCAGCTAGCAGAATCATCGCGTTATCCCTGACCTTTGATCGACTAATTAACCGAGTGCGCTCGCTTTAAAAGCAAACGTCATCGATGCACGGAAAGGAGGAGACGGATACGAAGCTACGACGACGACGGTACTTCGTTATGATTCGAGGTCGATGGCCTTAAAATGAAGATGCAACTCGGAGGTCTGCCAAAGTGAAACGCAATACCGGACACAAACAATGTTTCGACAATTTCTCTTAGAACTTGACATTCAGAATACAGAGTATGATGTATGTGTGTATGTGTATACTGTAGAATATCCTTTGAAAATCAACGAAATTCCTTTACTCAGTTATGAGTCATAGTCTGAATAAAATTTTATTAAATATGGAACTCTATTTCTCTCTTTAGAAATTCAACGAAAATTTCATTGGATGGTTACAATGATAGAAGAATATTGAAATAACTTGGAAACGTTATTTTTAACTTAGAGAAAAGAGTTAAATAAATAGATTCTTTCTTCAAGTAAAGTAGATGAAAAATTTGGAAGGTTCTCGTTTGACATCGATCGATCGAGTGAATGGTAAATGATAAAGTAAATAGTTGAGAAACTTAGTGTGTCTATGTCTCTGTGAATCTATGTGTGTGTGTGTGTGTAGCTCAAAGTATGAGAGAAGGAAAGAAACCCATAAGAGCTTGGGTGTTCTCAACCTGGAGAATGTTATATACCTACTAGGTAATTTACCAGTTAGTCGTTCATTGCGTGTTGTGTGTTCATGAGAATCCTAAACGGAACACTCCAGAGTGCATTATGAGTTCGGTAAGAAAGACCCACGTAATCCGGAAAGTACCAACCGGATTCCTCATACGTTTGCTAACTGCCACCACCATCACCACCACATAGACAAGAAAAAAACAACGAACCACTCGTCGAGTACCCTTTTTCTTCTTCTAAAAATGTTCTTTTCTTTCAACGTTTATTCTTCTCCTTGATGAAATGGAAAGAACAAATATTATACATATGAAAAGTTTTGTACGTATCTAGTTACGTATGGGAGGGAGTAGTGTATTGGATTGTCCAACAAGTTCGTGCTGATTTTATACAGAAAATTTCAAAATAATAGTTTTACATATTGGTAAAACGCAACATAAACTTTTTGAACAATCGAAAAAACGCCGATTTTGCCGTTAAATTCAAAGATAACACTTTTGTATTGGCAAATCGGTACAAACTTTCTAAACAATTTAACGCATCATATACTATCGACCAAAAGTTTGAGTATACCTACTACATTTGCATTTCACTCTTATGTACGAAATATGTTATACACGAAAATGTATGGAATTCAATTGTGTTCAAGATCAAAATACTTGTGTGTCCTTTTTAAAAAAATATTTGGAAGAATTCGTAAACGAGAAAATTGCTTAAATTAATTATACGAATGACGAAATAATTTTGTATATAAAATAAAAATAATCATAGATATATATAAAAATAAAGTATTTAATATAAATCTTGCATACATGAATACGCGTGTATTAACTTTTAATCGAGAATGTATACATCGCCAAATAATTCGTTCTACTTTTTGTTTTTCCTTTTAATTATAAACTGTCAAAGCCCGTTAGAAGTTGTATTCGTTATCAAAGATATCGCGAAACGGGTATTGTCGAGCGTGACTTCGGTAGGTGCACCAGTATGTGTGTCAAGCAATCAAGGTATGACTCGAGGCTATGGATCAACGCTCGGCTAGTAGGGTCCAAGAGTTAGAGCTACTTCTTGCTTGGAATTCACCGGGTGTCACGTTCCTCTTTCGAATGCGTTCTTACTTGAAATTCGTTTGTTGAAAATTATACCACGAACAAAGGATGATGATCGCTGATTCGAAACCAATTGAATGATGAAACAATTTTCACGTATTTCCTATTAACTATTCTACTTTCCTCTCTTCTTTTATTTCTATTTTTTTGGTTTGTTCGAAAATTCGGTTAGATTTTGTGTGTCTTGTTAATTTGTACGATTCATGTTTTTTTTTTTTATGAGAAAATGTTGAATAAATACATTTTTTTTGTTTGTTAAATATCTTTCTTAGGATGCGTCGAAGATCCAGGAGGATGCAAAAGATGCAGAGGTGACACGTGCGCGAGATGTGCAATACTATTACACAAAGGAATCTGTGTTGATAGCTGTCCACCTGGACATACAGCAGACTGGTCGACGAGAGACGAATATATGGGAAGAGTTTGTAAAGAGACTGGTTACATCTTTGGACTGACAGGTAGTCAGGTCGCTATCTTGGTGGGAGTTGTCTCCGGTGCAACCATATGTGTCTTCATCGTTCTTTGCGGTGCTATCATCGTTCACAGAAAGAAGAAAAAAGCGACCAAGATCGTACGGCAATTTGAGAACAGGTAGACTAACAGTAAAATAAATTGTTCTTTCGATTGAAATCCTTTTTATCGTTCGTTTCGAATATTACTATCAAAAAATATGTCTTATCACATTTTTCGTTAACATTTTTTTTTGGAGGGAGATCTTTCTTTTTGTTTTTCCAATTCTATCAATTTCTTCAAAACTTTTAACACATACGTTTGGATACTTTAGTGTTTTGATTTTATTTCTCATAACACATTTTTCTGTACATTTTTTTTCATTTATAAATAAAATTTTGAAAAAATTTTTATTTCTTATATTACTAAAAAATACAAAATTCATCTCTAAAAAGATTAAATGACATTTGACGACCCTTGTTCGCGTATAAATTTGACGCGACTTATAATTGAAAGATTAGATTTATTATTCTATCATTATTAGAAAATATTTCATTATATTTAATGATTATCTCTGACAGTGCTGAGAGAGGAGAATTCCTGAGGCATCTTGCAACGTTAAGAGGTGAGGGACACACTTTCCTTTCCATGCTGAACGACACTAGAAGACAAGTTAGAGAATTATATTACTCCGGAAATAACGGGGATGGCGCAGTCGGCATTCAAGCGTACAGGTAAAACAATTATTTACAAGTTCGTCTTTTAAATTCGTATCTTTTAATTAAAGGAAAATGAAGTTAGTACTGAAAGTAGTACTAATCGATTAACAGTTATTTATTATTCTAACGCTTAGACCTGTTCTCCGAGATCTCGCAAGGATATTAGTCCTTGTAAATAAAAAGGACGAAGACATACAGTTACCTCCTGATGACTGGCAGAGATTATTATCTTGGGCAGAACGTTTGCTCAGAAGATACAAGAGACACAGTAGCCCAGAAGTAAGTTAATTGTTTTCTAATGATTACATTATTTAAATTAATACGCCGAATTCTCTTTCTTTCTCTCTTTTCCTCTCTCTCTCTCTCTCTCTCTCTCTATTTCTCACTATCTCTCTTAATTTCTTCTTTAATCTTTCTTTATTTTTCATGGCAGTCTGTTAAACATTTCGGTGAGTATTACGATGAGAATGTATTTTAAGAATAAGTAGTTTATAGAGGATACGTGTTTAGAATCAAGTATATGAGCTATAATCAAAATTAGATAATAATAGAAGAATAAGGAATCGATCTTATTTTAAAAAGTTAAATTTTATTTTTTAAGGTGGCTCAACTCGTGACATTCCTGCAGCATCCACCAAATTCCGTCCAAACGAATCCAACGGAGTCGGTAGTAATAACACCACCGTCTCAACCGTTTGAACCTAGAAGTACGCCGACTAATTTAACAACTTTTCAAGCTAACTTACCACTCGCTACTTTTCAAGCGAGCGACAAGTCCAGTATTAGTCCAGCCAGTTCAAGTTTAGGATATGCCAAGGATAGTCCACTTGGGTCGAGTTTAGGACAAAATAGTTCCATGCCCTATCACGATAAACTCGGACGTAACAACGAGTCTACGATGGGACAAATGACTCCTTTGGTTTTTGGCATGCAAAAAAAACTGAAATCAAATGGATCACATTTTCAGGAATTAGCCATATCGGTGTTCAATAATCATAACGGTGGTGCTACGTTACCAGATATCAATCGCGGATCTAATCCTCGTGAAACTAGCGTTCTCGATCGTGAAATCAATCCTCAATGGGAATTTCAAAGCGCTGTTGAAGCTGCTAATTATACCATATTGTCCGATAGATTACCCGATTGTGACTACCTCATAGATGATTTCACGATCCTTGGCTTCAGGCCACAAGATGAAATTACTACCGAATTGTAACGAATTTAGATATACAAATAGTATATATATATAGATATATATCGATATTATTTCTATAGATCAATAGAAAAAAAAATCGTTCAAATATGTATGAACAATATTCGATGAAAAAATTAATGAAAATAGTTTAATATTTCAGCTTTAAATGCGACTAAATTTCATCCTGCTTCAAGCATGATACAATTTATAACATTTCTCAGATTTATCAAATGCATAAATCCTAGTTATTAAAAGTTATCATACATATCCAGTTAGTTACGGGAGGACAAATTAACAGTGACACCAAATAACTATAAGAAATTTGTAGAAATATTTCGTTTTAATTTAATGATCGAGTTGTTGTACATGTTTATTATTAACAATTATTCTGTATATATTAACATACTAGTCAATGTCTTAATGTGGGTTCTTTATCATTATTATTATTTTTTTTTTCGATTCGTGTCATCATAATTCTAAATTAAGGTTGACCATTCAATGTAAATTTTAATTCGATGATTATCAATTGAATTTATTATTATTTATGAATATTATTTGTTCATGTAAATATTATTAACAATCATCGAAAGCAAAAAAAAAATGAAAATAATAGACATAATTCAATTCGTTTCTTCTTTTTTGTTTATTTTAAATGACAAATATTTAAGGAGAAGTAATAATCATTGCACTAAGAAATACCTATCATAGCAAATATGAATAATCTATTATTTGTGTGTATGTGTTTTTTCAATACTTTGAAGATTGTCGACGAAAGTGATTTTTGATAAAATTAAACAATATAGATTATAATAAATAATTTATAAATATTTTAATCCTTATTATATCGAGCTAATCATATCACCTTTGTCTACAATTTTTAAAACGTTCTAAGAATGAATGAAAATATGTATGTAATTATTTAAATATTTCATATCATTCCATTACTGTGTCTGGCCAAATCGATTCTTGTACAAATATCTGTAAATGTAAATGTAAATACCGATGAATATTTTTAGTAATAAATTTAAGAGGAACACGCAAATATCAAATATATTAAAAATTAAAAGTTTAACATTATTTCGACGAAATTAAATCAAGTAAAATCAAAAAGTATGTATAACAGCATATTATAGATACTTTTCTAATAATAACCGATGTAATTATTTTTCGTATTCATTATATTTTCCTTTTTTTTTCATAATATGTAATTGCGTCATTAACTGCGTTCTGTTTTACCATGCGATTCACGAAAAAACTTACCACAGATGTACAAATTGATTTGATTTTATAAAAAAAGAAATTTATTATATAAATTTACATATTTAAAGAAACGATTGATATCTTTTTAATAAATTAAACAAATTAAATAAGAACAATAGGAATTATCGATTTTTCTAGTGTGCCCGCAGTTAAACGCCAGTGATGTCTCTGTCGGTAATCTCTGATAAAAAATAAATTTATCAAGTTTCCACCATATTGATATTATCCATAAAGAAATCAACTCACTTACCGACGGTAACGCTCTAATTTTATGAGTATAGATGAATCTATGTATTTGAGAGATAAGAAGCAACTGGTACACCATCTACAGTGAGATACCTTAATGAAAGACGTGATGTAATTGGTTCGTTAGAATACATCATTAATTTCCAGCCAATTGGAGCACTAGTTTGCAAAAAGAAACTTACATCGACTTCCGGCAAATACATATTTAAATTAATGTGCTCACGTGCTCTCGTCAACGTATCTTCTTAGTAAGGAAGTACTCGATCGTGTTCTCCATAGATTTGTATCGGGAAAATAGAAAGAAAAAGAAGGAAAATATGCGAAAGGAGGACTAGGATATGAGTATGTATGAAAGAAGGAACAGATGGACTGGATGGTGCCGTAGAATCGATCGGGTTGATAGGATTTTGTCATCGTCATCAGGAAAATTTTGGTTTGGCGGTTCAATCCGTACAGGAAGGTATATTGGATGCGCGCGCAACCGGATGTTGCGCACGCATTAATGACGATACGATATAAAGAATACTTGATACATTAGATTTAAATATTTTCAAAATTACAGGACAATAGATTATTTTTAAATGCATAAGAATTCGTTCCCTTTAACGTAGAAGAGATTGCAAGAGGAATATGCTCATTCAAGTTGATAGTAAAAGTCGCGTCCTTCGGACGCACCAAGCGCGTAAGTTCCTGCGGGGTGGGCGAGGGACGCCATGACAGTCGTCGTATTTTCTGTTAACCGCGAGCACGTAGGCAGATCCGAAGATTTTCGTGAAATTACGTGGCACGTCGGTATCGAACAGGACCGAATTTGGTCCTATGTTATTCCGTTTTCGACGGCGTACACTTGGATGATATTGTTGAAGCGGAGGGCGAGGGAGCGTGGCCATTATCGAGGATTTGCTTGTGGGCATCCGTGGCGAGGTGAGACGTCGAGAGGCGGCGAAAGGCGTCCCCCCTGCGTCGGGACGCGCGTCTCCCCGTGCACGGGACGGCCTAAGGCCGTAAGAGCGAGATGCCCGAGCCGCCGACGGCATCCTTTACCACGTGAGTCCTATTCTCTAAGCTCTATTTCAAACCTAACTTCAATACTCGCTGGTTCTTGCCCTGGTCAAAGAACTCGCTAAGCCTCGTTTCTTTTGCCTCCATCTTTATTTCTCTTTATCTCTTTCTTTCTATGCGTAGCCTCCTTTCTTTCTCTTTCTATCCTTTTATACAAACCTATATGTATGTATATATATCTGTCTATACATATATATACATATATATAGAATATATCTATTTTTTTATTACCCTCTCCGCTTTCCTTTTCTTTTTTCTCTCTCTCTCTCTCTTTCTCTCGCTCTTTCTCTCGCTCTCTCTCTCTCTCTCTCCCCCTCTCTGTCCCACTCGTTACGATGCACATACAGGTATATTCCCTTGCCCCCGAATCTTGTGTCACCTCCATCTTGTGGCCCCTTGTCCCCGTTCCACGTTCTCTCTGCGAAGAATATAATTCACGCGTCATATGTGCGAGAAAACAGGAGATAGATGATAAACAAGGAGAAAATATTCCCTCGAGCGCAGGGAGTTTTGTCTACGCCGGTTCGTCGTGGCCGACATTGGAGCAAACAAGGAAGCATAACAGCTGCGTTACCGTAACGGAGGTGCCGCTGTTGTTGTCGTTGAAACGCAGGCGGCCGCTTTCATCGCTTTTACGCGGCCTTTGTTACGCTCCCGAAGATGCTAGCCGATGACTCACCCATTTCCCGCCCTGTCTCGATCAAAAAAATGTTCTCTGGAGGTTAAGACCCGATCGATTACATACGCGAAGATCCAAAGCCATTGTATTATCTCTAATATCGCAGGAGATTGATATTTTAGCTGGTGCTTATATTATTCCCTGTGTGTTTATTCCGATCGATCGCCACGTCGGATCGCGCGTATCGGAAAATTCCAACACACATACACATACACACACACATATATACAGAGAGAGAGAAAGAGACAGAGAGACAGAGAACGAACGATGATGACGTCTGCGATTTTCATAGCTCTGACAAACTCGCGATCGAATCGAACTACATTTTCGAGGTTAAACGCCGTGACACTTATTTTTCTTCGTTTTACCATACAGATCCTACCGATTAATCAATGAACTCATTTATTATTGTATTATATATTCATTTATGAATTTTAGTTTGGTCAAAGGGGAGTTTTATGTTCCTTAAAAAACGTTATGGCATTCGTAAGGAAATTACGCGATTCGAGGAATGAAAAAAATTTTCAAAACAATGATAATGATCATGATGATGATGACGATGATAGTTGTAATTTCGATAGTAGTTCCAATAGAAGTTATTGAAGTTAAGATTTAACTTCTAGTCATGTGTTCTGCAGGATGAAAAGTGAATTATGTCAGAAGCACTTAATTGGTAGCCTTCAGTGAACGAAGATGAACAGCGAGCAGCATGCATTGCCAGCGACTACGCAGGCTCAACAAGAGGTGAGAATATTTTTAAACGTATGCAGGCTACTTACCAAGCTACAAATGCGCGATGGATATATATTTATGTTTAAAGATATACTTTTATATTAGGTATTATTCTCAAAGTAAGATTTATTATCTTATTACTTTATTCAAAGCTAACGTACTCTGTCTATCGTGTTCTGTCGTTTCAAAGCTAGCTACACAAGCTTAGATTATTAACAATAATAAATGATGATTTAATTATATTTTTGGTATTGTGTATATATTTATATATATCTTACTCGTTTTCTAAGTAACATGTTAACTATATAGCTTATCGGCTTAACATTGATATTAAATGTTCAATGACAAAATGCAATTTACATCTTATCTTTGTAACACATTTAATCTATATATTCTTGAAATAATCTGAATTTCCTTCCTAAGAGTTAAAAGTACATGTTAACTACAACAAATAAATATCAGTTTTGTATTTAGGTAAATAATAACCGGTCTTTATAATGCTTGAGCCAAAACTCTTCGGAAAGGATTTAATCCTTACTGGCGCACTTGTCGATTGGAATCAAGCCTGGTGCATGCCTTTGCATGCCCTATTGATGTTGTACAAATGTCTGAATGTATATCGGTAGGATGTAAACGCGGGTCAAAGTGGTCGTCCTTCATACCCAGGTGGTTTGGCTACTTCGACTGGCCTTGGCAATGTGGGGAATACCCCTCATTCATCCGCGGACCTGCGTGTAGGTACAGCTGTAGCGTTAGCCTCCTCGGTAGCTAAGTATTGGGTCCTGACCAATCTGTTTCCCGGACCGCTACCTCAGGTCTCAGTCTACCACCATTCCCACCACAACTCCTCTCATAGGAGCGGTGGAAGTGGGGAGGCATCTTCCAAAGAGCCAGCCTCCTCGTTGAATCAGGAAATGGCATTGAACTCCAGCTCTCATCATCAATCAACTTCTCAGTCGGCTCATCATCACCATCAACAACCTTCAGTTAGCAGTAGCAACCATCATGGCTCTATGCAGTCCAACTCTCAGGTTTGTTTGCGTAGAAGCACGCTATACTCGAAGATCGAATGTGGCTTACGAACAACCATAGCAGAATATTAGAATCTGCCTTTGCAGGAGTCGCAGTAACATTGTACCTTGCGTGTATCTTTATGGAAATGTGAGTAGGTGGAAAAGATATACATAATGCCAAATGAGTAAAAAGTGGCCTTTGAGTTGAGTTAACGGTCTACTATCTTCGACAAATTTTCTTTGCTTTTGCCATAATGTTCTCTTTCTCCGTTTCCCTTCCTATTTCCACTTTTCACTTCCTACTTTCTTACTTCCAATGCAATATTCTTATATTTAAATACATAACAGCTTGTGAGTAGCTCTTCAAATTTTAAACAATGTTCGTTAATCTATATAATATATATGTCAGACAATGCTCATTTGACAGTAGTACTTGATGAAATATATTACAAACGGTCGAAATACTCTCTCTTTGAGTAATAAAAAAATAAAAATAAAATAATAAAAACATCAAGAACAACTGTGCCTTATTGATAAACTTTTACTAACATATCTTCTATATTTTATTGTTAACAGATTCCAGTTTCTCTTCCTGGCCTTAATCTAGACGCCCATATCCCGACGAGCGTTAGTCACTTGCAGGCAGCACACGCGCAAATGCAACAACAAATGCAGGCACAACAGCAGCAGCTGCACCAGCAGCAGCAACAGCAGCCACAGCAGCAGCAACAACAGCAGCAGCAATCTCATCACCAAATGCAGAATCATCAAAATGCACAGAACAGTGGACCGACCTCACATAACCAGAACACCCAAAGGGATGACAACAAAGTCAAGGACGAAGGTGGCAGCTGTACCACCGAGCGCTGTAGCGATAATCAGGTTCACTGTCAAGTTCAATGCGATCTTCAGTTACAACCACCGCAAGACTTACAACAGAGCTTAATGCAACAGCAGCAGCAGCAACAGCAGCAGCAGCAGCAGATTGGCGTGAATATAAGCGGGAATTCGTCGACTGAGGGTAGCAGCCAAAATAATTCGGAAAAACCGGAGAAGGAGAAGGAGTTGCGGCAGCTTAATATGACGCAGTAAGTTTTTATGCAATTAAAGGATACACTTATAAAAATGATAAAATCTTCCTCGTTATTTTCTTTTTAGATTTCAAGTTCCAGACTTAAAACCAGGCGGTCATATGATGGACGTAAGAACAGCCGATGGTTCAGTAGTCAAAATAAGTGCGGGGAATGAACAAGACTTAGCTAAAACACTGGGTGTTGAAATGGTACAAAACATGTACAAGGTAATAACATTATATTAGCGCGCGTTCTAATAGTGTATATAAATCAAAAAAATACAAAATTTCGTTACACTCGACAGGTGAATGTCGAAGATATTAACCAGCTTTTAGCGTATCACGAAGTTTTCGGCAAATTGCAAAGTGAAATTGCGGCCGGTACTACTTTAGTAGGTAGTACGGTTCCTACGCAAACAGTTACCACGATTCAAAATGGTACGCCAATAGTGCAGCAAGTTCAGTTGAATAAGTTTGACATAAAGACTAGCGATGGTGAAGCTACGCCGGGTCCAAGTGCATCGCCAGTTTCGGTCGGCAGTCATGCTTGTGAGATATGTGGAAAGATATTCCAGTTTCGTTACCAGCTTATAGTACATCGTAGATATCACACAGAAAGAAAACCATTTACATGTCAGGTCAGTATAATATTTTTATTTTCTCAAACATTTTAATTATTTATTAATTTTACGTATGTGTCTTATCTTGCATCCTTCTCCTCTTTTCTAGGTTTGCGGGAAGGCATTTTCAAACGCTAACGATCTAACGCGTCACGGAAAGTGTCATTTGGGTGGATCGATGTTTACGTGCACTGTATGTTTTCACGTCTTCGCGAATGCACCTTCGTTGGAACGGCATATGAAAAGACACGCTACTGACAAGCCTTACAACTGTACGGTGTGTGGCAAGAGTTTCGCAAGAAAAGAGCATTTAGATAATCACACCCGATGCCATACAGGCGAAACACCATACAGGTAATAAGCTTTTTCTCTTGTAATTTTTTTATTTTCATTACACAACAGATCGTTTCTCCATTTACACTCGTTCGCAAACTTTAATTTAATTTTTTTCGCTTACAGGTGCCAATATTGCTCGAAGACATTTACCCGAAAAGAACACATGGTAAATCACGTGCGCAAACACACTGGTGAGACTCCACATCGATGTGATATTTGCAAGAAGAGCTTTACTCGCAAAGAACACTTTATGAACCATGTTATGTGGCATACAGGAGAAACCCCCCATCATTGTCAAGCCTGCGGCAAGAAGTATACGCGCAAAGAGCATCTCGCTAACCACATGCGTTCACACACCAATGACACCCCATTCCGCTGTGAGATATGCGGTAAGTTTTACTTTACTTTAACTTTCAGTAGTTGCTACCAATCGCTAATTTTCTTCAAATATAAACGAACGAACGAAACGAAAAAATGAATTCCAAAGAAATATCAAAATAAAAGTATCATTTTGTTTTATTCATATTTATTAATTACTGTAATATATATTTTATGTGTTTATAAAGATTATATATGTTACGATCAATGTTGAGAATGCTCGGATATTCATTTAAGATTGGGTAATGTATATTTTACATTGCTCGGTCAATCTCTACAATGTCCTACTCAATTGTGCATTGTTTAACATTGCCCAGACATTCTTAACAATACCTGGATTCTCAATATTGACCATAGCATATATACCGATCCATTAATAATTATTATCTTTTGAATCAGCTATATCAAACGCATGTATGTGAAATAATATAGATAAAAAAAAAAAAAAAATCGGTGACATTATTCCACCGAATTTAGTTTCGTAATATTTCTTCGCGATTTTGTATTATAATAAATGAAACGCGCGATAAATTTACTCCAAACGATATTGGCCCACTTTTAGTACATTGTTGAAAGCTATAATTGGAACCTATGGGAATCTTTAACGATGAGGTAAGTAATATATATATGTGTATGTGATTGTATGTGTGAATAAAATAAACCGCGTCTAAATCGAATATTCGTGAAAGGGTATAGCAAGTATATACACTCTGGTACGGGGAAAATAACGAATAACTGCGTTATCGATGGAGTGTTATTTTTGGAAACAAATCGTTTCTCGGTTTTATATTTCGATCTACCTTCAAAACGGGTCGTACGTAAATTATATAATAATTTATAAATTTCTGAAAATAATTTATTCATAATTAATAATCATTAATAAAAATTAATTATACACATTGTTTTCAATTAATTGTAACAATTTTGTCACATTAATAGGAAAAAACATATTAAAGTAAAAAACAATTTCAAGGGGGGGGAGGAAAAAAGCCAAAATTCAAATATAAATTCCGTATCGAACACAGTATAAATAAATTAATTATAGATAACAAAAAGTATAGATATAAAAACATCACTATAATTAATAATTCATTGATAAAAATAAATATATATATAAATAGCGAGAAATAAATGAGATGAAAACAACAATTAGAATGCAAATTTAGTCTGTTACTAAATGAAGTATATGATATATAGTATAGCCTTAAAGTGTGTATAGTTCGGTAGATAGGCGCACACAGCAGTGAAATAAAATTCGCGAGAATTGATCGCGCATCGCGAGCAACCATCCACCACCACCACCCCTCCGTTTGGTCTCGCGGGTCGTGCGCATTCCTTTGCAAAAGCCGCCCCTCTAACCTTAGAACTATCGGTGTCTTTGGCCGTAGTATACAGAGACGAGTTTCTTTTCCTCCCTCCCTCTCCCTCTCTCTCTTCTCCTCTCTCTCTCTTTCTCTCAATCTCATTCTCAATCCCTCTCTCACCCTCTTTTTCTCTCCTTTCGTCGTCTAGCACGAGTTCCTCCCAAGTACACACCTCGTCTACGTATCTCAGACGCACTTCACAAGTTTCTTTACGTCCACCTTCGAGAGTACATTGTGATGACATGACTTGCTATTTCGTTAATTTAAGCGGTTGGTATTTATACATATACAGCATACACGTTTATGTATGATGTCTCTGCTTGTGTACATACGTTTTATTTATTTGTTTTTTTTTTTTTTTATTTGGGTGAGGGTAATTTGATAATTATTATTGTTTTTCTTTTTCTCTTTTTTACAATAATTTTGCATTGCAAGAAATAATTTAATTTTAGTTAATCTTTCTTGACTATTATCATAATTTATATTGGTTGAAGTTTTCCATTTTGATTGAATTTCTAATTTTACTTTCTAATTCTGAGAATTATTATTACACTGCGCGCTTTTGTAAACTCCACATTTAGGATTCAGAAAAGTCGTATGTTACATACACATATAAGTGCAAGTAGTAGATTTGAAAATACCCGCGCGTGTAACTCGAAGTCGATATATAATTTTGAATCTAATGGTAACATCCCTTCTTCTCATCCCTTTAAACCTTTCTTCTCTTTTTGCTTATCATCCTGCCGAAGAATTTTATTTCTCTCTCCCTCTCCCTCTCTCTCTCTCTCTTTAAAATCATTGTAATTTTAATCGATTAGAAAAAAAAGTATTGTTTAAAATACATATTAACGATTAACGGGAAAATAATTTTAATTTATTCACATATTGTCTTTATCGGTATGACGACGAGGTAAACACCCTGCGGTATCGGTATGCGCGTATTCTGTTATATGAGGTACATTTATCGCGCAGCATGCAGTGTTATGTGCACGTGTTAGACGCGTTCGAAATGATAGGTGGATATGTGTACTTATTGATTTGCAAACTATACTCTTTATATGTATCATTGATGTAGTAGTTTTTTTTTCTAAATTTGTAATGAAATACGAATGAGATGAAAAACGATGTATAAAAAGTTACAAATACTAGCTCTTATTTATTAATATAAAATGAGGATAAATTAAAAAAAAAAAATAACAATAATAAAATAAATATAAATAAATAAATAAATAAATAATAATAATAATAATAATAATAACACATATTAATAATAATTTTATAGATGTGATTTAAATTGCAGTTTAATCAGCTCTTCCTCTTTTGGTTTTTTGTTTGTCGCTGCTCGTACAGGTAAGTCGTTTACGAGGAAGGAGCACTTCACGAACCACATAATGTGGCATACGGGTGAGACGCCGCACCGCTGCGACTTCTGCTCGAAGACGTTCACTCGAAAGGAGCATCTTCTCAACCACGTTCGCCAGCACACGGGTGAGTCTCCACACCGATGCGGCTTCTGCTCCAAATCGTTCACCAGAAAGGAACACCTTGTTAACCACATCCGCCAACACACAGGTGAGAGCGGTTGGCAGATGTTCACTTCACGGGCAACCGATTCGTAATGTTTTGTCTCTAATGATTAGTTTTTCAGTGTTCACATCACATAGAATTCAGGCATAGAAAGAGAGAGTTTTATCTATACATATATATTTATTATACTTAGGAATTTTATGTCTTTTTTTTATATATATATATATAATCCATTTAAGGATTTTGAGAGATTTCTTCTTCTTCTTCTTCACCGTCGTCGTCGTCGTCTTCGTCGTAACGCTATTGTCATATTCTAATTATTGTTTCTCGTTCTTTTGTTTTTGTCGTTGGTTTGTTTGAATTTTTGTTAGATTTCTTCTTCTTTTTTTTTTTGTGTTTTTGGTTTCGTCGTACCTTCTACATCCTTCGACGAATCATTTATCGAGTACATTCCATTTTTGTGTGTTCCACTTATGGATTTCTAAAACACGTGCTTTTCATGTTAAAAAGTCGAAATTTAACATTTTAACTCATTATCGCTATAGTTTGCATGTTTAAACGCTACTACTACTACTACTACCACCACTACTACTACTATTATTACTATTACGAGGTCAATCGTATTCCGTTGTGTCCATCGTGATTCATCATTCGATGTCTTCTTCAGATCGAAAAAAAGTCGTTAGTTGTATAATGATATCGTGTTTTCGTCGTTCATTTTTTTTTTTTTTTTATAATTTATCGTTGTCGAATCACGCATCCCATTCTCATGGAATCTCCCTAGAGACATTATCGCTGTTCTGCCTAATACACCGCTCTCATACATGCTTTTTCACTCACTATTTCAGAGTCTTCTCGTTACAAATAAATAATCATACAAACATTCTTCTGCGTTACATAAAATAAAATTCCGAACAGATTCCGAATTATTTCTTTAAAAAATTTTAATCATATTTGCATATATCAGGTTGTTTGGAAAATAATTTCGTTTTTCGGAGAGATTTCATTAGTCGCGTTTACCGATATCTAACTTTACTCTAAACATCAAAATTTTGTATACATTTTAGGAACAGACATTTCAGACGCGATTTAGAACTTAGTTACGTTTCGATCCGTCAAGTCGTTTTATTTTCTATTGCATTCAGAAATGAAAAATCAATTAGCATTCTCATCATAGTTGCTTTTCTTTATATTACCGTGAGGATAACACGTTTACGACAAGAATACGTTAAGTGAATGCCAATATCAAAATTGGTTTTCCAATTTTCAATGTTCTGGTCAATTCGATTTGAATGATGCACCACGTTTTGGTCGTCCAGATAAAAGGGATGATGACAAAATTAATGCACTTGTGGGTGCTAAATATCGTATAACAACGTGAGAAATATCAGAGAAGTTAAATTTATCAAATTCGACAATTGATGATCATTTCAAACGCTTAAATATAAAAAAAAAAACGAAATTATTTTACGAACAATCTAATATGTATGTATATATTTTATTGCTAGTACCTCTTACTCTCACATATTGTGTTTGTCAACATTTTGTCCGTCAAATAATTATATGTCTTTGATATATATATATATTATATATATATTCAGTTTAAAATCAGTCAAAAATATTGAGAACGATTACATAAATTGTTCTTAATTATATAAAATATTTTATACATCAATCATTAAATAGAAAACACATTTTTAGATTCTTGTTTACTAACAAATGTCTTAATTTCTTGTAATCGTTAAATGTACATATATATAGATAGATATATGTATATTTATCATTCATATCTGTATATTAATGAATATTAGCAACAACGTAATCTCTCTTATTGTACACATTGACTTTACTCGAATAGTAATATCGAGTAATTATTCTGTGCATTGCCTCTGGCAAAACTTACCTTGTGCAAGATAAATTCATTTGTTTTTAATGGCGGAATAGAAATGTTCAAATATCGTTTTGTGGAACTGTACAGGGGAGACGCCCTTCCGCTGTCAGTACTGTCCAAAAGCATTTACGCGGAAGGATCATCTGGTGAACCACGTCAGGCAGCACACGGGTGAGTCACCGCACAAGTGCCAGTATTGCACCAAATCCTTCACGAGGAAGGAACATTTGACCAATCACGTGCGTCAACATACAGGCGAATCGCCACATAGATGCCACTTCTGCTCGAAATCATTTACTCGTAAGGAGCACTTGACGAATCATGTACGAATCCACACTGGCGAATCTCCGCACAGATGTGAATTCTGTCAGAGAACGTTCACCAGGAAAGAACATCTCAATAATCATCTCCGTCAACATACCGGAGATTCTTCTCACTGTTGTAACGTCTGCTCTAAACCATTTACAAGGAAGGTATGTTATCTTTCTGTACACAAGATAGCAAAAAACTTATTTGACTTTTATAGCTTTTCCATTCGACTTTCGGTGGTATAGTTTAATTAGTGTCATCGTTAACACGTTCCCTACCGCGTCGCAGGAAAGATTCCAACTACTGCCCATGATTTATTTTTCCTGTTTATTGCCATAACAAAAGTACGACACTGGTTCTAAATATGTTAACAATTGAGAGTCGATAAGAAAAGTTAACTACATTAAACTTGTTTCCGAGGAAGACTTTTATTTATGATTCCTTTTTTCTTCCCTTCTTCAAATTACATAGGAACATCTCGTAAATCATATGCGCTGTCATACTGGTGAACGTCCATTCGTATGCACGGAGTGCGGCAAGAGTTTCCCATTGAAGGGTAACTTGCTCTTCCACATGCGTTCGCATAACAAAGGAAGCAACGCCGAGAGACCATTTCGTTGCGATCTCTGCCCTAAGGACTTCATGTGTAAAGGGCACTTGGTCTCTCACAGACGATCCCATTCGGACGAACGTCCACACAGCTGTCCAGATTGCGGCAAGACGTTCGTCGAAAAAGGAAATATGTTGAGACATTTACGAAAACATGCATCCGAAGGCCCGCCAACGCAAGTCAGCACACCTTCTGCTATTCCACAATCTGGAGTTTTACCTATACCAACCGCTGCAGTTTTGGTTGGACATCAATTAGCACCACCAGCTCCACCAGTTGTCCCACAACATACCGTAGTTGTACCAACGCCACCCGGAGTTCTAGCATCCTATTAAAGTCAATATTAATCAAAGGAAAACAAGAAGAAAAAGAAACTCGTAACGACGATGGGGAACTTTCTCAAGGTTTTTGTTATCAGTGTGTTGTTGTTTAATCGACAAATAATGAGATGCTGTATTCCAGATGTACATACAGTACTATTCAGCAAACTTTTAAGCTAATGATGATGATTACAAAAACGCAGTACTCTCTCACACCTTCTAGCTCTTTCTATCTAGAAAAGTGTCGTTACGTGTTAAATATTAACTCGAAAGCAGCTAAATAATTATACCCTCGTTTATTAAATGAGGGTTGGCCGAACTATCAAACCGAGAAGAGAAGAAAAGTATATGCGATTCGTGGTTTTTTTTTTTGATAAATCTGAATGATTTTTCAATACTTTTCAAATACATTTTGTATGTTATCGGCGATAGATTATCCAAAGTTTGAATTTGTTTTTAAATATATATATATCTTTGTATGAAAGATATACGATAGATTTATAAGAATAGATATATATATATATATATATACTTTACAATTTCGTAATTAGATTTTTGTGCAAATGCAGTGCTCTGAATTTCTTCTTTTTCTTCTTCTTCTTCTTCGTAATTCGTCGATGCTCATAAGACAAGTAATTTATTAAGTATCGATCGAAACTTTTCTACAACGTATTTCAATTCTAAAGTTATTAATTATCCGTTCAAATGGCCACCATTTTGTTTGTTTATTGTGCAAGAAGAGAGAAGAAAAGGGAAAAGCTATATCGTGATATGTATTATCTTATATTTGTACCTATCAAACATCTAAAAAGAGAGTCAGTCATTCTTAAAAATAGGCCACCAGAAAGATGGGCCGTTACTGCCACTTCAAAATCAAAGAAAATAATTAGACCATCTCGATGATAATGAGCTTGTTAAAATGCAAACGATTATCGTTATGCTGTATTTTTATTTTATTTTATTTTTTTTTCGTCTTAAATAAAACGACGAGAAATTAAGATATCGGTTAATGTAATATTTTTGATTAAGGAAAATAAAAAGAAGTAAGAAACTAAATAAGGAAAATAAATAGACAAATTAATGTTATTTTTTACGTGAATGAACATCTTAAAAGTGACATTAATAAAAGAAAAAAACAAAAAGAGGAAATAATATGAGAAGAAACGGTCCTACTAACGGGATATATTTCACATGGATTTAAAAAAGAGATAAAGTTTATGGTTTGATATATAAACGCATAGAATATAAAAGGAAGGAAATAAAAAAGAAAGGAAAATAAAAAGCAAGTGGAAGGATATATATTTATGACTACACATTGTTTTCAAAATGGGAGATAAAAGGAGAACAATGAATTTATTACGCGCGCGCGGTGAAATACGTTTTATAAGCGTGTAATACATTTTATACGAATTTAAATGGTATATATTCGGATTAAATCCGGTATGGTATATATAAGTAACACTTAGAGGTACCTATTGTCTGGGGTTAGAGGTTTAAGGAATATTTTCGTTAGTTTTAAACTATGTTGCGAGATCGAGTGCAATACAGCTAACCCTTTTTCCGCTTTATATAAATCCATACATAAATGCATACATATGTACACACTTCCATGCATATGAATCCGTTACAGTAAAATCTTCTCTTTCTCTTTCTCTCTTTCTCTCTCTCTCTCTCTCTCTCTCTCTCTCTCTCTCTCTCTCTCTCTCTCTCTCCCCCTCCTTTTATTGGAAAATATGATTTCAAGCGAGTAAATTTAAAACCGATTAACAAAGGTCCACAACTTAATTAAGTTTTACATGGGGAATAGACTTATAATTAAAAATATATATATATATATATATATAAAAAAAAGAATAATAATTAAAACGAATAAACAAATTTATTAATTCGACGATTAATTAATTATTATATCAGGGAATATTCGGTAATTACAATTTAATTCCTGAAAATCGAAGTAAGAAAACAAACAAACAAAAAAGAAGCACATTTTGTATTGTCTTATCTATAAAAAAACAAAAAAAAAAAAAAGAGGAAAAAAAAAGAAAAAAGGACAAAAAAATAATATTATTTCCTGATTAACACTAGCATTCATTGTATAAGGCCATATATATATCATATTTACTATTAAGATAATATAAAAAAAAAATATATATATAATTAAAGAAAATAAATAAATAATAAAACGAAACGTGCACTTGTTAGTGTGACATCACTGACATTTCAGTTACCACGTTGTCTTAACGCAAAACGGACTTTATATTAGAATACATATAAATATATGTATACATAAATATAAATATATAATACGTCTGATTTGTAAAAGAGAAAAAATGGAGTAGGGTTTTAAGTGACTGTCACATTGCCAGGTTTACATTAATAATAATAATGAATATGAATATGAATATGGATATGAATAATACTAATAATAATAATATTAACAATAAGAAGAAGAATTTGAAAATGATTAATGTTAATAATATTAATAATGTACGATAAATATATATCATTAAAAATTATTCGATATCGCGTAAATGCAACATATATGTATCGGTATGGAGTTAACGAGCGTTATAATTGCGTTTGATGCTCTTATTAGAAATTTAGAATTAATATAATATATTACGACATAAATATATAAATAAAGATCTATATATATATATATATGTGTATATATATATATATATACGTAATATATATATATATAGATTACTAAGTATATTCAAACTTATAGATATCACTTATTATTTTAAAATATCGAGAATAATAAAAAATAAATATTAATAATTATATAATAGGGGACGCGCAGCACTGGGGAGCTTTTAGTCGTTTTACGACTGATTAATATACATACATGCATACTTTCGCTAATGTTCTTGAGAAAAAAGATAGAAAAGAAAGAAAAAGAAAAAAAAACTTAGGCGAGAAATTCCGTAAGAACGCGCGCACGCGAACACGTGTACGTGTGTGTCTAATATTTTAAAGAATACGGACAAAAAAAAAGAATATATATATATGTATACACATGTATATGTATAAAAAAAACGTTACGAATAGAGCATATACATTAAATATTATGCGAGTACCGTATGTCAATGAACGATAAAACCGATAATGAGAATGACGATAACGATGGTGATGATGATGATGACGATAATGATAATGATAATGATAATGATGATGATAATGATGATGATGATGATGATGATGATGTGATGATGATGATGATGATGATGTGATGATGATGATGATGATGATGATGATGATGATGATGATAATGATGATGATCTATGGGATTATTCATATCTCTGCTATATGATAGTGCAAAGAATTTAAAAAGAAAAAAACCCTACTGTTAACTATGTCATCGGGCATTCTGTACCCCTTTCGCCCCTCCCAGTGACCCCTCAACCCCCTACATCTTACCGCTAGTAGAATGTAACATGGAATAAAAATTGAAATAATGTTTATATATGAATTAATAATAATAATTAATATTATATATAATATCATACGTTATATAATATATATATATATGTATATGTATATATATATATATATATATACACATATACATAGATATACATATATATTAATACACAGAAGAGTAAAACACTAAGAGTTGGTTCATGTGCTTTTAAGAAAAAAATTTAGTTGTGAGCTTGTTTAACAAAAAAAGATTTAAAAAAAAGAACGAGAGTAAAATGAAACGCAGCCGGTAAAAGAAAAAAAAAATCAGCAGCGATCAGTTTCTTCTCTATGAGTCGAAGCGAGTACTCGTCTAAATGGGAATTTTTGCGATTTGATTTATTTTCAAAAATTATCTTTGTAAGAAAGAACATTTTTGTTGATTTATTTTTTATTTGTTCTCTATATTTAAGTTAACCATTTGCACTATGATTTTCTTCAGTCGTTCGAGCATGTTAACAAAAATTGAACCGCAGGTCTAATTCGTATTTTTGATTGACCTGTCTAATTCGGGTAACATTTTTATTTTTATTATTTTCATTGGCATCTCTTATACAGGATAATCCCAAACTTGGGATAAAATGTTTGGTAACGAGGACGTAGTAGTATTAGCTTCGACTCAAAGTGAAATATGGTGATGGAAAGGTTTTTTCAGAAAAAATATGATTTACTTTAGATAGAACAAAAATATTATGTATAGAATTTTATTATGCACCATTGTAATATTATGTATCCCAGTTGTGACACAATATACACTGGTGTTATGTTAAATGTGACAAGATTTTGTATGATGTTATTACATGTTTTTCTTTGTTTTTATTCTTTCTCCTATTTATGTATAGAACAATTATTTACGTTATCTAACGTTATTTAACTATATACCTAATATCATATATTTCATGTATAGTTCAAGTTTTAATGAAGTAGATAGCTTTGATCATATTATTCATTTAATTAAATCATTGCATAATTAGTATTACTTAAATTTTTTAATTCATTTGATTTCCTCTTCGTTAGGATTAATTGATCGATGTTTATTTTTTAATTTCCGAGATAAATTTAAGAAGAAAAGATGTGAAATGCAAATTTGGAGTAATTTTTCTAACGAATAATTTATTCTAAAAACACATTTGATCCTCTGATTGATAAACGTAATCTTTATTGTATAACAATGAGATAAGAATATAACTTCAAATAAAATATTTAATATATACAGAGTGAGATAAAAACCGCTTTCTCCAAAATAATTATAAACAAACAATTATTTTTATATATTAATTTATCTTCATTTGTTCACATAAAATATTCAAATTGGTGTCTATATTATACATCAATGAACAACTCGTATCGTTTAATTACCGATTTACATATGGCTGTACAGAAATGAAAGGTTTCGAAGTTCTGAAATGATTATTATAACTAATCCAAATCTTTCCACAAAAACAAAAACATTTAACAATAATATTGTTGCCACAGTAATCGTATAAAAACTATACTAAACTATCAGCTGTTTACACAATTGTAATCGCATATCATTTCATAAACAAATTACTTACTTAAATTTCTGGTGAAAGCGACTTTTATCTTACCCTGTATAATAAATATTCAATAAAAATATAATATTCATTTATAAAGTATTACATTAAATATAAAAAATTTATATATTTATAACGATTATGATGTTCATAATTAGTCGTCTACTCGAAATAAATAAATTTGTTCGAAGACTGAATTATTTTTTCCACCAGTATATAATGGAGGATAATTATAAATTAAACTTTCGATTTCTTCTTTATAATTAGAAAATCTATTTTTATTTCTTCGAGCTAAAAAAAAACAAAAATTATATTAATTTTTGATTACAATTAAATTTCAAAAATAATTACATCAATTTACCTTCGTTCACGAAGAAGTTAGCAAAATATTGGCCGACTTCAATGGCCTCCAAAGTATGAGGTATATTTTTCCCTTTTATCCATTCGTAAATATTTTTTTCCGGATGAAATTGTAATCCAAAAAAAGGAAAATTAACGTGTTCCAAGCTAGATATAAATTTTACACCATCTGTGGCTACATTCTGAGAGATGACTCGAAAAGTGTTATTTAAATGAAGCCTTCTGAGTTCCTGTACATGGTAATTGCATAATTGTATTACTTATTTTTATTTACGTGATAATAATAATAATTAGTTAAAACTAACGTTTTTGGTTATACAAAATTTATGAAAATTAATAGTGACGTTCTTCGTTTCTAAACTGTTCGTAATTTGCCGTGACGCATTTGTAAATAATTTTGATTGTCTAAAATCTGAAAATGCATTTTATTGAGCTATTAGTTATTGGATCAGTATTTTAAATAAATTGTCAGTATTTATAATAACATATCAATATATAATCCTAATGCAATCCTGATTTATTATAAATCTGACTAAATTTTGTTAATAATTAATCATTCAATACTTACTTTCTTCGAACTTTAAAGGTAGAGCTTGTGATTTACTGACACAGGGCATTCTATTCAGTCTCTTATTAGATGCTACGTATGTTAATAATTCAAATCCTAAACAAATTCCTAGAATCGGGAAGTGCGTTCCATTTTGGTTCATTTCTTCAGCAATTCTACAAAAACAATATATTGTTAAAGTTCAACGTTAATACAAAGGGTAAGATTATTTGTTAGCAATATTTCCAAATTTATACTGATAAATTTTGTTTCCTGCATTAGCATATCCTTTTTTGAAGCTTGCTGCTCCGCCTGGCCATAAAACTCTAACGTAGAAATAAATATTTGTTAATGATTACTCCATTTTATTTTTACATTATTTATCATATCATTAAGAAATTTACCCAGATATGTTTCTCAATAGCTTCTTGTAATATAATCTGCTTTTATTGATCCTGTAAAAAAAAATACGATTTTTATCATATTTTTTTATTACAATTTTGTCCACAATATAAGAATAATATGATCAAGTATTATACATATGTACGTAATTAATTTAATACGATAAAGGGAAGATTTCAAATTGGACGGACGGCTGTAATAATATCAAACCTACTCAGGTATAAGACAAACAATCTGGAATAATTTTTCCTTTATCAAGTGAGTTTAAACTGGACTTAGATAGAGATCGAACGTTCTCAAAATTTGCATAAGAGTGGAGAAAGTAATATTGTGAATTAATAAAAACTTAATAAGTATTTAAAAAAAGAATAAAAAAGGGCAGTCCTTGTCAGAATGTCATGAAGTATGCATCGTTAGAATCATTTGAAATTAAACCTTAGAATTTAAATTGGTTATGCTTTAAAAACCCTTCCCTTACAATTATCAGTAATGGGATAAAGACTCTTACAATACTTTAACTCATATCAAATATAAAATCTTTCTTACGGAATTGGGACCACTCTTGCACCAGCACCTTCAACAAATTTAACATAGGATGCGGCTATATAACTTCTGTTTCCTTTCATTAAGTCACCGTAATTACCAGTTTCTTGAGATAGAATGCCTTTAAAATAAAAAGATATTAAAATAATAACTGTAAAAAAAAAATGAAGAAACTTTGAGTTATACTCACCAATAATAGGCCGACTATTAGAAGCACTAATAATATTATTTATAATAACAATGGACAAAATCAAAAAAAGGATTCCAATTTTACGATAAAAGATCGACATTGTTTTATTTTTATTGAATGACAAATATTTTTATATATACTATATTATTATTTGTTATCTTTTTTGTAAAATATTGATCTTTGTTTTTTTTTTATAATTGTATATTTTTATAATTCACTTAGTAATTACGTGTTCTAATATTGAATTTGTTCAGCCGACTAAAGTAACCGTAAATGTCATAACTCATTGAAAACGTTATAAGCAGGAATACTAATTAACTTTATTGAGTAAGATATTTTAATTAATTTTTTGTCTATGCAAAAAAATTCTATGTAATCTACGTAATTTTATTTCATAATTAATTGCCTGCGTAGAATACTTTGCGCATAACGGATGCTTAAAATCTACCCGTCTCATTCGTCATATAATTTTTACATATTTATATATATAAAATATATTATTTACGTATTATATTACGTATATTTATTTATTATACTATTTATTATATTAGTTATATTTATTACGAATATATTATATAATATATTACTGAAATGAGTTAATATGTAGGGACTTTCTGGTAAAGATTTTCAAAAAATTACTAATACTACGGAAGTGCACAGGAAATAGAGGGCACTCAAAACATAGTCATGGGGTGCCCTCTAGGCGGAAACTAAAAGTACCGGTACCACGTGAGATTACTTCTTCTGCATTTTACTTTTCATCGAGCATTGGTTTTTAGTCAAGGAAAAGATAATATTAGTCACAAAATATAGAAATTCTTCGTACGTTTGATTCCTCAGTGAAGTGATTAGAAAATTAATCGCCGAGAGGGTAGATCATTGATATTTCCACATATTTTATTATTATTGTATTATATTATTAAAATGGTAAGATAATTGTGATATATATATATATATATATATATATATATATCTAGTACGTATGAAATTATTTACTTTAAGGTTAGGTCTCACGTGATCACATTATATTTATATTTGAATTTATTATCGCTTATTATTGTTATTATTATTCGATAAAGATTGATTAGTAAATTTTATAATTTGTTGTTTTAAATAAGAATAATTTTATTTATTTTCTTTTTTATAGGATGAAGTTAACCCAAAAGCTTATCCATTGGCAGACGCAGCTCTAACCGCAAAAATTTTAAATCTTGTTAAACAAGCTGTAGATTATCAGCAATTACGAAAGGGTGCAAACGAAGCGGCCAAAACTTTGAATCGTGGACTTTCTGAATTTATAGTAATGGCTGCGGATGCTACGCCTTTAGAAATTCTCTTACATTTACCATTGTTGTGCGAAGACAAAAATGTACCTTACGTATTCGTTCGCAGTAAACAAGCATTAGGTCGTGCTTGTGGAGTATCTAGACCTGTTGTAGCATGTTCTGTTACACTTAACGAAGGCTCACAATTAAAGCCACAAATTGAAGCTATACAACAACAAATAGAACGTTTATTGATTTAAATAATGTATATATTTTAACTGTACAATCATATTCCGACGCACCTGTTCAAAACTACTATTTTTGTCACATGTGCGTCATCTGTATGTCTGATCCAATTAATAATTATTAATCGTATTAAAATTTTTTCAACAAATAACAGCAAAAATGTTTTTTTTGTATCTTATAAGTCAGTATAGATTTTTGTAAAAGATATATATATACATATATTTTGTTATTGTATATATGACATTAGATTTTAATGAACGTTGAAATTATTCATATGCTGTTTCTATATACAAATACTTTTAGGTACCTCGGAATTAAAATATATCGAAGAACGAAAATATACCAAATAAAAGTATATCCTTAAGTAACAATTATTTTGCCTTTTTTCATTTAATTTAAAAAAATCTATATGCGTTTTTAAACGAAGATGCATTTTATTTTTAATTACATTATATTAGTACAAATAAATAATTATACATTTTGTTTTTTTTTAAGATAGAAAAAGAGAAAATTATGTAAAACAATTTAACACATTTTTACGCCAATTGTCGTGCCAACGAAGCTCTTGAAATTTAAATAGTTCGTTTTGAAATTTTTTACGAGTCTTTGTTACTGACTCATTGATGGGAAATTGATAAAACCATGATTTCAACTGTTGAGCTAGTTCTTGTTCGTCTGAGAAAACGTAACTATTTTCATCGTGTTTCACCAATTCTGATAAACTAAAACATAATGAAAATATATTATTGGATCATATGCAAATATGTATTTAAAGTACTTACCATGAAAAATTATACGCGCAAACAGGAAGGCCACATCCAAACATATCCACTACTTTCATTGGTAAATCTAATCCACTGGAGGATATATGAAGACATATACCAAGATCTGCGCAAGCTACAGTAAATATTATAAATACTTTACCCCTCAAAAGATATAAGATAATTTATAAATTATCAATGAGCTGTATCATATATTATTTTAACATACCCAATAACTTGGGATATTCATCATTCTCCAACCATAGCATGATAATTTTTACATAATTCCAATTTTTCGACTTTATAATAGAAGTATAAAAATCTTTTAACGGTCCCTTACCCGTTATTAAACATAATAAATTTGTTAAACCTGAATTTCCTTCTTGACAAGCATTTTCGTATTCTGTAAATTTAACATCAAATGATATATCATACAATAATGTTCATGTTAAACAATTATTATCTAAAAAAGTACCTTGCAAAGCAGTTATAAGTATTGAAAAATCCTCGTCTTCAGTCCAACTTGTGCTAGATATAATAAAGCCTGGCCTTTCAAGCAATAAATTTACTTCATCACCTACACTCTGAGTAAAAATTGTTGTCTCTGTATTGTTTCCAGCAAAGACATTATACTTTTTACTTAATTTAACCAAAAATTCATGTTTTTGTTTTAATGAGATCGGTTTAAAACTGTTTTCTGAACGATCATACAAAACATGTGCTCTAGAAAAAAGAAAAGTAATACAATTTAACAACGAATTATAAATAAATAGATAATTGTATCTTCTCTAATGCGACTTCTTAAGCAATACGAACTCGATTCCCCATTGCTTTTGTAAATCCTCTTTCATAGCTTGAGTAACACAAAAATTATAACATGCTTTTCTTCCAAAATATGTTTCAATAAACTTTGCTATTTTTACAACAGTATGATCCTTGTTTAGACTCAATGCCATTAAAGAATGTGCGTAATTATGCCAGTCGATAAACAATTTGCTTTCGCTTAAGATACTAAAGAGCCAACATATTGGAATCGTTGGTATGGCAGGTGGATTTTGTATTAAAATGTAATTTGATATGCGTTTAGAGAATAATACAAATAAAAGTGTAACACTTTGCCATATTACCTTTACAATATAATTCAAAACAGTAGGCAAGCCTGAAACATTAGAAGAAAAAAAAAAGAAAACATACAATCCATGAAAAAACAGTTTAATAATTATAGATTTGTTTTTACAGAAATTCATACTATTTTCCAATGCTGGATAATGTGGAAGATAATGTATTTTAATGTGTGAATTATTTTGGATTTGATTTAACGGAGATGAACCAGGATAACCTATAAAATCCACATCGAAACCTTCATTTGCAAAGGATAATGCATGATATTGCATTCGTGGACTTCTCCCCACATCTCCAAGAACAACAATGCATACATTCTTAATTCCTTTGCGACAATAAATCCATAATTTAACTGTCAATAATGTAAAAAATATTACACACAAAAATACTATGAAGATCATTATTTGGAATGTACAATAGTATTACACACGGAACCGGCAGGAAACTGATAATACCAACATAAGTCAACTCATCAAATTACAAACATTTTATAACAATTGCAACACATGCCTAAGTATTTCCAATAACAATTTTTTATAAATGTTACTATTTATGGGATAATAATATTTACGAAAAATTTTCTTGGTATTAATAAAACCTCATATTCTTTTATTACCATTGGTTAACGAGTTCTGTTCGTTGGTGTTATTGATTTACAAATATTGACAAATTTATTTAATTTTTTTAAAATCATATGTTAAAGAGAGAGTTATCCATAAAAAAACTATACAGATTTTAATTGACTAAACAAACTTCGAAGGTTTTAAAAACATTAGACAAAACAGAAGATTATACGAATCAAAGAAAGCACAATATTATATATGCATTAAAATAATTTAATTGAAAATTAATGATATAATAAATAATTGATAATGTGAAATATTGGACTTGAAAGATAAAAAATACATTCTTTATCGCTGTAATTAATTAATATACATTATATTGTAGATATTACATATACTCGTAAAAAAGATGTCGTCATTGATGAAAAAATGAAATTTTATTTTAACGAGAAGAGGAAAGTAATAAGAGATCAAAGAAAAATAACTCTGATTACAAATGAGGCGCCATATGTGTTATCAGTCATGAAGAGTGGAAAGCGGTTAAAACAGCAACTTCCGTTTTCCTTTTCGGCCATTACGGTCTTAAGCAGAAGACGTTAAACGGGGAGTGGATGTTCCGTGAGATGTTTGAACATTTTATTACATCAGCTCGAAGACGGAGCTGAAGATAATAAAAAAGTCTATTGTAGGAAGATAAATAGTATCGAAAAGTAGACGATATCGGAGTAATTAAGTCACAAAAGGTTATGTCGTTCGCATTCGATGTGCCGATTGATGATGGCGGTCGTTTTACTCACGGTCATACGGCGCGTTTAAACGTAGCGCCGCACGCGCCTTTGCGTCACGTGGTGACCACCCACGTTTCGGATTGTAAGTAAACAAGGAGAAGGAAAAGAACAATAATATTAGTGCGAAGTAACGCGCGACGTATGTATATACACACGTATGTACGTTCTACATGAAGATTAAACAGTACACAATAAGTATTACGTTAATCGACGTGCGTGTTTGCGTACGTGTTTGCTTCCTGATATCAAATTTTTAACGAACTCAACTAAAGAACAAGATTAATCGAGTGAGAAAAACATACGCACTGTTATTTCGTAACCCAAAGAAACCGTTTATTTCGTGATGACGAGAATAACATATATATGTATATAGATTGTTCCGAGTGTGTGCAAGTTTTAAGCGTGTGCGTGTTTACGCGTTATCCTCTCGTTCTCTCCTACGTCGTGTATGATGTGTATATTATATATATCCTGTTATTAATATATATATATATATTTTCATATACACAAATCCGATTACATCATTGGAACGTAAAGAACAAAAAAGGTTTCATCGACGTAAGAAGAGAGCAGCTGAACTTATTGAAAAAAAAGACTCGAAATATTTTGAAAAGGTTTTACAAGACCGGGTTGAAAAATGATGTCATCTTTTACGACGGACCACGTAATCCTCTTGTCATTTTCTTCGATTTATCATTTTTTGAACGTTCCTACCATCTCTGTTGTCCGATTTTTGTAGTTTTCAGTGAATCGCAGCAGGTATATCTGCTTGTGAGAGTGTATTTGAGCGCCTCTGGTTGTGTGCTCGGTCCCTTCCTCTCTCTCAACTACATATATTCTATATTCTTACACGTCCGTCTGTCCTCTTCGTCTCTCTTATTCTATCTCTCCTCTTTTCTACCACCCTTCTCCTCCTCATTCTCCTTCTCCTCCTCCTCTTCTAAACCTCCTCTGCCCTTCGTTCTCTACTATCACGGCTGTTCATTCGTCAACTCTTTCGCATATCTACCTATCCATCTATTTAGTCATTTACCTATCTCTTAGAGCAAAGAATCTTTCTATCTAGTTGAACTTGTTGTCTCTGTCACTTTTACTCTTGTTCGTTCGCTCGCTCGCTCGCTCGCTCGCTCATTCATTCGTTCGTTCGTTCGTTCGCTCACTCGCTCACTCACTCACTCACTCCCTCTTTCTCTCTCTCTCTCTCTCTCTCTCTCGCTAATTCATTCTCTCTCCGCCTCGTTGGAGAGCTTGCTCGCTCGCTCGCTCGTTCGTTCGTTCGCTCGCTTGGCCGCTCGTTCGTTCGTTCGTTCGTTCGCTCGCTCTCTTGGTACTATGTCTACGTACTCTCGTACTCAGGAGAGCGACGCGTGGGCCCTCCTGGCACTGAAGTCGGCACCGGCCAGTCCGACGAAAATGCAGTGGAATCCAGAAGCTAAGGGTGCACCGATCGCTAGACTCGAAGGTCGGGAATTCGAGTACATGGTTAGGCAGAGACGCATCACCATCGGTCGAAACAGCAGCAAGGGTGAGGTCGACGTCAACATGGGTCACTCCAATTTTATCTCCCGCCGACATCTCGAAATATTCTACGATCATCCCTTTTTCTTTATGACCTGCAATGGCAAGAACGGCGTCTTCGTTGATGGCGTGTTCCAACGTAAGGACGCATCTGCCTTTCAATTGCCAAAAACGTAAGTCCTTCTTTCTTATATTTTCAATTCCCTACCATTCTCTCTCTCTCTTTCTCTCTTATTCTCTATTTAACTCTTTCTCTCATTCTCGCGTGTACGTTAACCTATGTCTTCTTTTCTCACACCTTACAACATACACTTACAATGAGTCGAATATCTTCTTATGCATTTATTACATTTTATGTACACATTTTGTTTCATCGTTCTTATCCAAGTATTGTTTATGTTGAGTTAATCGATAAATATTTTGGCCGATGTAACATTTTACTAGAATTCAATAAGACAAATAAGGTTGTGTTCTTATCAGTGATTCAAAAACATAAGGTAAAAATATAGGCATCGCTTTCTAGTTTTTCATTTTCTTTTTTTTTTCTTCTTTTTTTCTTTTTTTTCATCCAGGTGCCTATCTTAAAAGTTTTCACTAGTCAGAATTTTCTTCTCTGTTGGTAAATATTAGTAACTGTCAAGACAATGATAAACAAACATGTAATAGCGTAATATTCTTACATTTTGCCTATTTTCATAGCAACAATGTGTTTATTATGTATATCGTACCTATCTTTTCTGTTTGTAGTGTTATTGTTTGTCCTTCATTTTATAAAAAAAATACATTTTAAGGTTGTAATAAATATGTACAATAACCATCGCAAACACATACAAATACACAGAAACATGACAAGAACTACCTGTAAGTATCGAGCAATGTCACTCATGTTATTGATATTAAAAGATTTATCCTATGCATAAGTAAATAATATTAGTATGAAAGGATAGTAATAGTAAAACTTTTTGAATTGCAGATGCACCTTTAGATTTCCAAGTACAAATATAAGACTTGTATTTCAATCTTTGGTGGATGAACAAGAACAAGGTAATGTACGCGTACCATCTCCTCCTAAACTGAGAGTACCACTACCGCCTCTACGTATAAACATACCTGATACGGGATATAGTAGTCCCTTTCCTTCTCCTACGGGAACCATAAGTGCTGCTAACTCCTGTCCAGCTAGTCCACGAGCAGGTCAGGGTAGAAGAAATATATCAGCGGATTTACAAATGGTAGCGGCATATGCAGCAGCAGTTGCAAATGACCCACAAAATTCTGGAATGGAAAGGCATGAAGGAACTCAAAGTTCTAGTAGGCAAATCAGTCCTGAACCAGGGAATGATCAACGCTACAGAGGTAGTGGTAGTTCGGGTCCAAATGGTACAACTGCACATTATAGTCCGCCAAAAGATGACACGAAGCCTCCTTACTCGTATGCCCAACTTATAGTTCAGGCTATTGCATCTGCACCTGACAAACAATTAACTTTGTCGGGCATTTATTCATATATAACAAAACATTATCCATACTATAGAACAGCTGATAAGGGCTGGCAGAATTCTATTAGACATAATCTATCATTAAATCGATACTTTATAAAAGTACCGAGGAGTCAAGAGGAACCTGGGAAAGGTTCTTTTTGGAGGATAGACCCACAGTCAGAAGCTAAGTTAATAGAACAAGCTTTTAGACGAAGAAGACAACGTGGTGTACCCTGCTTCCGTGCTCCATTTGGATTATCCTCAAGGTATACCACTATATGTTTTTATAAACTACTTATTGTGATTGGTTTTTCATTCAAATGATTAATTGTTCTAATTTGTGAATTAACAGAAGCGCACCTGCATCTCCGTCACATGTGGGAATTAGTGGTTTAATAACACCAGAATGCCTGAGTAGGGAAGGTTCCCCAGGACCTGAAACATATCCTGATAATTCTGTTCCTTCTCCAGCTGGTCATCTTACGAGTCAATCTGCACCAGGATCACCAGGGCATCCATATGCACCGTCTTCCCAGCAATCCCATAAAGGGCGATTGGTGCAGCAAATCACTGTTGTCACTAATGGCGTAAGTGGTGACGCAGCGAGGGAAGGTATTTCTTTCATTTTGAATTAGTTAATACATTATATTTACACGATAATTGTAATCTTACTGGAAAAGATTTCTTGTAATTGTAGATAAATATTTGGTGCCTGGAAACATAGTAGAGGAGCATTCTTTATCTCCAGCTGGACAGTATAGCCCGGCTCCTGTTATTGTACAAACAACATATAATTACAGGTATATATTATTATAATTAATTTATAATGATATGTGTTGTAATTTACTATAATGAGTGTTCCCGATGAGAAACTCATACATATGTAATTATTTTACATAGATTATCTATGTATTTATTTTATATTTCAGTGGAAACTTTATTGGCCCTGACGCAGGCGTTGGGGTTGGCAAAAGAGCACATGACGAATCAGATAGTTCGCCCGGTTCTCCAGCTCCTCTTGCCATCGTTGAAAGTCCCGAGCCTCTCGAGCATCAGCAAATACAGCAACAGCAGTCAAAACGTCAACGTGTGCACGACGTTGATGATCATTGAACTTATTATTCTAGAATCCCACTTCGTAGAACATTATTACATTACATTATTTGCCTATTACCAGACACACAGCCAAGTTCTCTTTTCCTTTTAACGCATAACTGCTTTGAACGGCACACGGCGGAGTAAATATTCGGTTATATATCTATAAAAGAAAAAAGAAATATGTTTTAAGAAAAGTACAATCGTACTGCGTTAATTAAAATGATAAAACTTATTTAGTTTGGACCACATCGAGCGAGGATTAAAAAAATATTCCTCTTACGAAGAAAGCATCAATCAATCAATCAATTTATTGGGAAAGTGCAACTTCTGTTATTTTTTCAAAAAAGTTAAGTATATATATATCCACTATATATATATACGAAAGAAAATAACAAAAAAAAGAAAAGATTTATTTGTATGGAAAAAAAAAACATAAGTTAATAAGAAAAGAAATTCATGCAACTAACGATACAGACGCAAAAGTCTCCCATAATTTTTCATATTTTGTAGTATACCGATTAATATGCATAAAAGTATATACATAGTATTGTATTTTTCACTTGACAACTTATTAATTAAAAGCACGAATGAGAGAGTCAGGGATAAATATCACAAATTAAACTTGAAATTGAAAGCGCGAGAAAAAAAGCCTTTTTAGTAACGTCATTAGAGCGTGGATGGACGATTTGTTCGGGAATCAAGGAGTACATCGATTGTTCCGTTGACAACCAAATGAAAAAAAAAAATATACAAATACACACGTACACATGCGAAAGGGGGAGGGAAACAAACATTCGAAAAAACAACTATAAGACGATGACGACGACACGGTTAATAGTTTGTTGTCCTGTAAACGTTGCTTCTCACGGTAGCAAGGCTAAATAATCTTCCCTAAAAAAAATTATAAATGAAAAAAATAAAAAAATACAAAAAGTAAGAAAAAGATTAAAAAAAAAGAAAAAAAAAGAATACACCGCTCGAGGCATATTTCGCGTTTTCGTTGAGCATATTAGCCTATTGTTAGAACAAAAAAAAAAGAAAAAGAAGTTTTTTCCAAAAAAGAAAATTAATCTTTTCAAAAGTTATATAGATCGTTGCGCTCAGTTTCTTTTTCCTGATAAAAGTAAGTACCCGTGTGCTTCTTAAAATTATATATACATACATACATATATATATTTTCGTGCGAAAATCGATTCATATATTGAAAGAAGAGGATTGGTGATATACATACATAAATATAGCATAACGAAAAAAAAGATAGTCATATACAGAGAGAGAGAGAGTCATTTAAGATCTGCTATCCGAATAAATTCAACAATTTTAGTGATAGGAACAAAATGTTAGAAGTTAAAGTTTTATGTTTATGTTAGATGTTTTTTTTTAAATGTAATTAATTTTGAATCCCCTACAATTATAACCCTTTCCAAGACAATTTTAACGGGTCATTTATTATATTTAAGATCATGGGTATTAAAATAGGAGAGAAACATTCAAATTAATTGTAGACCTTTTCTTAAAAGAATACTCATGGTTTTATATAAAATTGTAGAAATTATTTGGATGGCTAGTTATAGTCTTAGCTGACTCCACACTGTATAAACTAAATAAAAATCGCGTATATAATACAATTTCTTACCAACTCATCTACACACGTACACAAGCAACTCAAGAAGCTTTAGTCGATAGCTGCTGAAAACACAAAAATGACGCGGATTATTCGAAGCGTTTAAAAATAGTAATTATAGGTGCCTCTAAAGAAATAATAGAGCTGAAGCGCAAAAATGCTTCCCTAGTCGCTCAAAGTATACTCTGTTAAACGAAAAATGAAAAGCTAAAAGGTATATATACACTATGTATTATAATGAGAAAGAAAGAGAGAGAGAGAAAGAAAGAGAAAAAGAGAGAGAGAGAGAGAGGGAGGGAGAGAGAAAAAGGTCAGGCATATTACGTGTCAAGAAAAAAAAAATAGCATTTATTCGTAACAATGCCACACTTCCTCTTTCCACCACCCCAAACCGACCCCTTTTTACTTTTTTACTAAAGGATTAACTACGTTTCATGGAACACGCTAATTGTTTTTCTCTCTCAGTGACAAAAGCTCGATCAGAATTCAGTATTTTTTAACAGGAGAGAGATCATGTATGTATATATGCATTTATGTATATGTATACATATGTGTTGTATATTATATATAAATAGATATGTATATATATATATAGTATATACACTATATACATATATATATATATATATACATTTAGGCGAGGATATTATATTTTTTACGAATTTAACGTTTTCTATATTCTATTATTTTTTATTCTTTTGTTATTAATATTTTTTGTTTTTTTTTTTTTTTTTTATGTATATAAAAAAAAATATGTAAACGTATTCTCGTGCTATATTGAAAGATAATCGTACTAAAGTACTTCATTTTGTTTATGAGCAATTGAGAAAAACGTAATAAAATAAAAATATATATATATAAGAGAAAATTATGTAAAATAATATAGAAAGAGAAAAAAAAAAGATGGTAACGCACTATATGATTATTATGTAAAAAATATATATATATATATATACATATATACATATATATATGCATACATATATACATACAAATATACACAAAACACGTAACATTCCTACGATCGATTGAAAATCGGGTGTTGTATAATTGTTTTCATTTAAATTACGTAATCTTTTTGAATTAAACAAAAAAATAATAAGAAGAAGAATGGAATAAAGAGTTTGGAAACGCGTACATACATGTATATAATGTATATATACTTATGTATGCATATACAGGGTGAGTTTTTTTAAAAAATAGAATTATACATTTTTATACACCCTGTATATCGCTAGCAGTTTTATTATTATATCACGATAGCTTATCTTCCTAATCGAAAAATTCGCGATTGGACGGCATACTTCCGGCGTGTTAAAAAAAAAACGAATTTATAAATAATTAAATAATATGTTAATATAAGAGAAAAAAAAATAGAAGAAGAGAGAGAGAGAGAGAGAGAGAGAAGAGAAAGGAAATAAGAACAAATAAAGAAGAAAAGAAGCATAAGCGAGAAACGTGTTAATATAATAAATTATACGAGTTTACATGAAGTCTGCATACGTGCATTACAAAAATACATTATGCAAATTGCATAAAAAAAAAATATATATATATATATATATATAACAAAGAGAGAGAGAGAGAGAGAGAGAAAAAGAAAAAGAAAAAGATAAAAAAGAGACAAAATAGAAAAGAGATAGATAAATAAAAAAAAAAGATAGATAGAGAGAGAGAGTGAATGCTCGGAAGTTGTTTAACACGTAAAAAAAAAGTGTGACGCACATAAATCGGAAAATATAAAAAAGACGATAAATGTGATTCCGTAAATTCTTAAACCTCCCCTATATGTACATGAAGCAATACCTCAGGGTAAATTACTTTGACACTGAACGACACAATAATTAAACTTGTATATGCGATATACTTGACGTATTTGCGGTATATTGTATGTCATTTATAATAAAGCGTGTAAGTTGGATCTTCGCACCATTTTTTCATGGCTTACAAAGAAAAAAAAGAAAGGAAGGAAGGAAGGAAGGAAGGAAAAAAATATAAAAAAAAAAAAAAATGAGATACAAAATAGAGAAAAAGTTAAATGGATGTGGATAGGAGGAAAAACAAGTTAAAAGTTAACAATAAAAAAGAAGAAACAATGAGAGAGAGAGAGGAAGGGAGAAAAAACACTAAAATACAAAGAAGAGGCCCAGGATCGCCGATTTTCTAAAGGACTTTATAATAATAAAAAAAAAAAAAAAATGCTAATACATACTCTATTTTTCTGACTTATTAGAAGAGAGAAGAGAGCGACGAACCATCAACAGCGAGGTAACAAATTAATTATTAATTCACAAATTAACAAAAAAAAAAAAAGAAGAAGAGAAGGATGCAGATGCTGATGCATAGATCATTTCGATAGGTCGTCTCACTTTAATAATGGATAGTTTTTTAAAAGAAATTCAGAGAGAGAGAGAGATAGGAAAACATATGAAAAATGTTTTCACGAACGTTTCTCACGATATCGTGAAATATATATATATATA